CCAAGCCCAAAACACAGCACTTGGCTCGCTGCTAGGAAGAAAATTAACTCTATCCCAGCCGAAACCAGGACAGGGTGTCATTTCAAAAAGTGTGCTGGTTTTGGTTTAGTGTGTTTTTATTCACCTGAGGAATTTCAGGGGAAATTTCTTCTCCTTTTTTTCTCATAAGAAAACATTTTCTATGTGACAATTAAACACTATGAAAAGAGCACATGCATTTCATCCTTTTCCAAACTATTACTGTGGATAGTTGTTTCCTGAAAAATCAGTTGGTGCTTCAGAGTCTACCTTAAAAGAAATATTTTTATTAATAACTTTTAAACTTTTACATTTATCAGTGGTGTGCATGATTTTACCTGTAATGTAACCTAATTAATATGAATAGACAATCTCGATATAGCACTAAGAGATTTCTTTAATTTCGTTATCACATTTTCATCTCTTCTAACAAATCACCTTGAGAGATTGCAAATTGAAGTTATTAGTGATTAAAACATTGCGCAGGAATGAAACTGTTGCTCACGCAAGGAAGCATGCACCGGGGGTGGCTGCCAAGTGTTGGGACCAGTGTAGTTGTTGTGTTTCCCCACTGAGTTCCTGTCCCTGGATGCCGTGCAGCTGATGCCTGAAGGGGTGGGCGCAGGGTCTACAGCTACGTTTCTGTTAGTCCTGGTCCCAGGCCTGACTGCTGGGCTACAGCTGCTCTGAAACAGTCAGACGGCTCCTTCCAGGAGAGAAACAGCCTCGTGCAAAGGTTATTTGTTCAGACCGAGTGAAACACCATCCATAGTAAGAATAAGTCATTTTGGTACAGCATAGTTTGCCTTTGAATTGTAAGTTAATTTAATTTGGCCATCATCTTAGTTAAATATCTATGCACCAATTAAAGTTTCATCTAGTATTGTGAATATATTTTCCCTTAGATTTATAAAAACAATTATGTATGTAATTTTCCAAACTGTCTGGTGAGAAGTTTCAGCATTTAAGCGTAAAAGAAAAGCGCTCTGTTGAAGAGCGCGGCCATAAGCTTTACATTCCTTTGTGCCGAGATCTGATTGCAGTCATGTATTAGATCAATGGAAGCAGTGCAGATCAATCACTTTTTTCAATTACTGATGGACAGTTTTCTCTTCAGAGGAGCCCAAATCCTTTACTGAGGTTGATGTGAATTAGTTCTTTGAAATCAGCAGAGTTACGCTGATTTACATGAAATAGGATCTGGCCTATAGTATGTGGAAAGTAATCAACCTACCTCCTTGCATAACTAATAGGTGAGATCCTTTGTAGCTGTAGCATACCTTTCTTTTGACTGATGAAGCTAGAAAAACATTCATGTATTTACCTTTCATGGTCAAACTAATGTAGTGTAAGTGACAATTATCATGGGCCTTGTTTTGGAAGTGTTTTGGAAGATATAATGCAAAATCACTTGGTGATTCAGTTGTTCATGGAAGTCAGCGTTTGCACGTGCGTTGTTAGTACAGACGAAGGAGAAATGTTCCTACAGTACACAATTTCAAAAGCAGTCTTAAGCTTGCTAAAGCAGATTGCAATTAGAAAAAGAGGCTGAGGCTTACCTTGGTTGAAAATTTTCAAAAAACTGTAATGATTTTGAGTGCCTCCATTCTTTGATCTTTAATTTGAGATTTTTTTCTTTTTAATAAGACTCCTTAAAATCAAACCTTTTCAGATGTTTAAAAATAGGCTTATTGGCAGAGAAGAATTAAAAATAAAGAATTCTGTGTTTTGTTTGAATATGGAGATGGCAAACCAGCTTGGAGATCCCCTTGCCACACATCATTTCTGAAGCATGCTTGCCAATTTTGCTTCTACCTTTGGTACACACTTCTCAACTCTTGCGTTGGGAGCACCAGTGACCCTCTGAGCAAAGGGTTCTGCACAGTTTTGAAACTTAAGTTATGGTACTGAATCCTAAAGTGTAAAGAAATAAAGGTACCACTTGAAAAGCAAAAGTTCTTCTCTTTTTATACAGAAAAATAGCTCTTAATAGAACATCTGGATAAACCATTTAAGAATCTTTATGTTAACTGTTAAAGCTGAAACTTGTGAAGTTAATATATAAAGAATGTCACATACCGTACTATTCCACACTACAGTATCCACTTTATGATAAGACAGGACTGAAAACTAAATTTCAGGTAGTTTAAGCACTCCTTACTTTCTTATGGCCTTAATTCTATGTTTAATGTTTAACATGCACACACATGTAAACCAACTCTAATCGATACGGGCATTTAATTGGGGATTATCTCCTAGCACACGATGTATGTGTGTACATTCATGCCATTTATTTCACTTTTACAGATAAGTCATTTGTAGTACAAGGTATTCTTATTAAGATCACAATCTTTAAAATGCGTTACTTGCAGTAAGTACCCACGGCTTTCTGAAATTCCACGGCTTTTAATGGCAGTGACTTTGTGGCAAAAGCACGTCTAAAGTAACTCCAGAATGGGTACGCTTTCAGAGCGCTGCTCTGAGGCGACGGTGCACAAGCCTGTGAGGTGCGTAGCTCCCAGAAATACAGGTGGATTTGGATGAGGAAGGAGACTGTAGGAGGATTGTTGGTTATTTGCTGGGAGAGGGGCAAAGGACTCTCCTGACAGTGCGGTGCAGGTGGGGTGCCGGACGGTGGGTTGCCTGTCTGTGTCTGCGGCATGATTGAACAAACCTTTCCACAGTACGGGATCGATGTCCGACTCTCTCGGAAAAGGGCTTTTCCTCTTTTCTTTTTGTTAAGTCATGTTTAGCTTTTTTCTTTGTAGACAGCCCTGTGGTGGGTCCGTTTCTTCCTGCAGTCCTCCAGCTCCTCACCCTTCTGTAGCACCAAGATGGGAGAATACCAGTCTGTGGTTAGGACAGCTCTCTCGTGTTGTACTGACCGAAAATTTAAACCAGTCTGTTCGGAATTACTTAGTGGGAAAAACATGAATGAAGTTTCCACAAGTATCCAGTCATCAGTTCCCCATTTCCACATTCAGTTCACTTTTAGGACGTGTTTACATGTATAATTAAAACGCCAATTTTTTTTAACTGTTTCCTTTAATTTTGTCATTTAGGTTCACTATTAATAAATATATTATTTTAATCTTTTCCCTAACATTTCTACAGAAATGAATTTTCAATAATCTTAGAGTATTTCTATTCCAAAACTTAAATGTCAAATAATAGCATTTCTGTTAACTGTTAGGTCTTTCCAATTTTTTCTGTTTTCTGTCTTACAAGCTCTAACTTTTGTTTCATTATAGCCAAGGCAAAATATCGGTACGTCCTTTGTACCTTTAGGGTATGACATCAGTAGTTTTAGATTCCAAATGTGGAATTCCACTCTTAATGTGGAATGCCCTTAATAAAATATTATATTTTAGTAAAAAGTGAGGGAAAATAAAGATACAAAATGATAGCAATTTCAGTATGATCAAGAGAAACATGCTAAACACAAATCTTTAAAAGAAACTATTGTGAAAATGAAGGATTCATGTTGTTCCAATATTATCATTTACAGACTGAAGAACTTACCGTTCACTTTTACTAAACTTAAAGAACTTGCAGCTTTGTGGCTTTCTGACAACCAGGTAATGACTTTCAATATTCGTATTTTCTTTACTAAAAAGTGCTGGGGGTCTTAGCAAGGGCTGTAAATGAAACCTAGAATTGAACACATGATTGTACTAGAATATGAGAAGTGTTTGCTCCCAATCCAGCCTTATACTTTCGTATCAAGTGTAGATTCTTCTGGCTGCCGTTTATTAACTTGGAAAGATCACCTTTGCAGGATTTATTACTTGCATCTAGCTAACCTTCTATATTCTTACAAAAGTAGTAAATAAAGGCCAAAACTATCAAGAGAATATTTTGTAAATAGAAATTCAAGAGGTAAGACTTTGTTACCAAGCTTGTTATTAGTTTGTCCCATCCTTTGCTCCATCTGTGCCCCATTCTTCTTGTCTTCCTTTTCCCTTTCCCTGTCCATGCTTCCATTTCGGCGTATTTTAAACTCCATTAAAGTCAGTGGGAGTTTAAACATGGAAAAGATGCACAAGAACTCTTAGTCTTGTTTTGGAGAATACTCTCGTTTCAGTTCCTTTGAAATTTAAGTATGCCTTTCTTTGTTCCAAGGTTTCACTACTATGTATTCTTTAGGATTCTATTTTAAAACCAATTATGTAGCATGAACACTGAGACAAGTAACAGTTCAACCAGGCTCTGAGCACCAAAATAAGTCTCGATCGTTTCCAGGATCAGTGGATAGAACAATTTTGCACTTCCATAATTTAACTGTAAATGGGGAAAAACTCCATTTGTACAATCTTAGAAATGTTCGACATACCTAACGGGTTTTGATAATCTCAATAAATTCTCATAATCTCATCTTTCTCACTTTGCAGTAATGCCTCTGGTCAGATAATACACCTCTTTAACTGAAGCTGAGGAGGATAATTCTTCAGGGGCCAATTATCATGCTATTGGAAATTAATCCATCCTTTTATCCCCATCCAAAAGCCACAGGGACTGGTGTCCTGCAGCGGACGCCTGCGCTGAGCACTGCTGGTTGCAGACCGGCTCAGAGCAGAGCCCGTGCCTGTCCGCACGGCACGGCCCGGCAGACGGGGCCGTTTCCTTGTCAAGGTGTCAGACCAAATCCCTGCCAACTCCGGGCCAGCGCGTACCATTCCGCCGTGCCCCCGAAGCACAGCAAAGCCAAATGCAGTGCAGTCAGGTTAACGCTGGTACCTGCGTATTGCACTGCTCCTTACATGTTCTTCTTACTTTTATAGCTGAGCAAAACGTTTTAAAGCTGACAGTAGGGGAGACTAAGTGGGAGGGATAATAGAAAATTATGAGTAAATTTTAATGTCTTAAAATAAGAATTTGTTTTTCCACTCTAATTTCCATTAAAAAAATAACATTGCGTGACGACTCAGCCGAGCCACAGAATAAACACTTCCTTTTAAATACAGGGGTTTTTCAGCATTTTGACTTTTCTACGGTATAGCACAATTTCTGTTCTATGAACTATGACAGTCACTCCTAGATGCTACATTAGAGCAAAGCAATAATAAAAAATAATCAATTGAAGTAAAACACAACATTAACATCTGAATATTCAGAGTGCCTGCAGGTAAATTCTCTAGTATCTTGCACCAGGTTTACCCTCTGATGAATGATCAGGAATTTACTCCTCGTTAGCTCTAGCTTAAATAGATCACAGCCACAGTGGGGGTGTTCTGACCGTGTAGTTGCAGCTCCATTCTGCTGATCTGATCCTTTAGCTTCCTCACTGGTTTGTCTCTGAACATGCAGTCAGTATTTCTGATATTTAGTGTTCTTCTGTTGATCCTGGTAGGAATTACAGGAATGGGAGAGGAGGCGTTTCCACCAGATCAATACTTGATGTAGTCCATGGAAAATTTTATTTTCATGCAGAATTTTAGTTAATCTTGCATTTTTGGTTTACCAAATGCTAAAGTCCCGTCTCAGTTACCAGACGTGCTCTGAGTTAACAGTTCTTTGTGTTGCCTTTCCTGCGCAGTCCAAGGCTCTCATTCCACTGCAAACTGAGGCTCACCCAGAAACAAAGCAGAGAGTACTGACTAACTACATGTTTCCCCAGCAACCCCGCAGTGATGAAGGTAAAACGCCATCAGCAGTTCCTACAAAGGCAGGAGCAGTGCTTGTTTAGGTAGTGAAGATAAAACGGAGGGAGGGCGAGGAAGGGGTCTCAGG